AGACCCCGCCCCAATCAATTTGAAACCCCACCCAAGCTGTGCGCAAATGAATCACCTGCCCTTTTGCAGCCTAATCTAACAAATTGCAGCTGGGTCAGAAAGCTCCAAAATTTCCAAACCCCAAACAAAGAGGAGAAATTGGCAGATATTGTGGTAGCTCCTGCTGGGTGGACTCACACAGTGGTTGAATTTGCACCTCCTTGGAGATCCAGGAGCCAGTGTACCCAGTGGTCAGATACCAGATTTCAACTCCTCATATCCATAAGTGACGCACTCAAGAGGCAGACTCAGTGAGCATCAAAGCCCCACTGAAGCAAGTCCTGCCCCATAAGGGTGTCTCCAGCACAGAAGTTCTTCCACTATAGACACAGAGGGTCATTGCAGTCAACTGGCCTGGAGGTCATTTCTTCCCAGGGATACCAACAGCAATCAAGGCTTAACTACAACAAGACTGTACACCCAGCCCACAAAGGGGTGCACCAAGAGTGTCTACCTCAGGTGACTGGGGAGGCTGAGCCACTGGGCCCAATAGGACACCTACCACACGAAGCCACTCTATCAACACAGAGAAGCATAAAAAATGCGGAGACAAAGAAACATGTCACAAATGAAAGAAATGGAAGAAAGCAAATTACTGGACTTAGAGTTCAAAACCACAGTTATAAGGTTACCCAGGAATCTTCTACAAACCTCCGAGGTACTTAGTGAGACCTTCAAGGATCTTAATGAGAATGCCAAAAAAGTGGAAAAGGACCAGTTAGAAATTAAACATACACTGACTGAAATAAAGAATAATATACAGAGATCCAACAGCAGACTAGAGGATCCCAAGAATCAAGTCAAAGATTTGAAATACAAAGAAGCAAAAAACACCTAACTGGAAAAACAAAAAGAAAAAAGAATCCAAAAATATGAAGATAGTGTAAGGAGCCTCTGGGACAACTTCAAGCGTACCAACATCTGAATTATGGGAGTGCCAGAAGAAGAGAGAGCGCGAGATATTGAAAGCCTATTTGAAGAAATAATGACAGAAAACCTCCCCTACCTGATAAAAGAAATAGACTTATAAGTCCAGGAAGCGCTGAGAACTGCAAACAAAAGGAATCCAAAGAGGACCACACCAAGACACATAATAATTAACATGCCAAGGGCAAAAGACAAAGAGAGAATCTTAAAAGCAGCAACAGAAAAAACAGTTAGTTACTTACAAGGGAGTACCCATATGATTGTCAGCTGATTTCTCAACAGAAACCATGCAGGCTAAAAGGGAGTGGCAAGAAATATTCAAAGTGATGAATAGCAAGAACCTACAACCAAGATTACTTTACCCAGCAAAGCTATCATGTAGAATTGAAGGTCAGTTAAAGAGCTTCACAGACAAGAAGAAGCTAAAGGAGTTCATCACCACCAAACCAGGATTATATGAAATGCTGAAGGGTATTCTTTAAGAAGAGGAAGAAGAAAAAGGTAAAGATAAAAATTATGAACAACAAAGTGACAACAAATACATATCTATCAACAAGTGAATCTAAAAATTAAGTCAATAAAAAAAATCTGATGAACAGAATAAACTGGTGAATATAATAGAAGCGGGGGCATAGAAAGGGAGTGAACTGACAATTCTCAGGGGGAAGGACGTGTGAAGGGTGTGGAAGAGTTTGGATAAAAGTTTTACACCTATGGATGAGGACAGTGGTGGTGGTGGGGGGAAGGGTATGGGATGGGGTGGAAGCCAGGTGGAGGGGAGCTATGGGGGAAAAAAAGAGGAACATCTGTAATAATCTGAGCAATAAAGATTTATTTAAAAAAAGATCATGTAGCCAGTTACTGATAGAGCTGGACTATAAATACCGGAAGTCAGATTCCAGAGACTGTGTTATTAACCATTAATATTTGGCTAGACTTCATAGCCAATTATTACTTCAGGCTTTCAGGTGGGTAAGTGTGTACTCCACATCATATAATTATTCTGATATTAGTGGGTACCAGGAACATATGTTCCCATAATTAGAAAAAGCAGGAAGAGGCCAGGTTAAACTTACAAGTACATTGAAAGCTACTGCTCCCTTCATGTCTGCTCACTGTCACACAGCAAAGCCAAATATTAATAAGGTGTTTACTCAATGTACTCTGTCTAGTAGGAGACTCTACAAAGGGCTTGGATATAAAATTCTATGATAAGAACAAAATAAAATAAAATTCAATGATAGAAGACATTTCAAATGAAGAATAATAATTCAAACTACCATGATCATATTTGCTAAATTTATTATTTTTTTGCAAGGAACCAGTTTTTGTTTTATTGTTAGCTCTATAGTTATTTCCGTATTCTAGTTCATTAAATATATTATTTAATTTTTATTTTATTGATTTTTAATTTTATTTCCTATTTATTATTTATTTATTTACTTATACTGTTTTTCTAAAGCTATTAATTTATCTGTCTCACAGAGTCAGCAGTCTTTGAAGGGCTACTTCTTTTTTATTTTTAAATTTTTATTGAATGTATTGGGGTGACATTGGTTAACAAAATTATATAGGTTTCAGGTGTACAATTCTATATTATGTCATCTGTATATGGTATTGTGTGTTCACCACCCAAAGTCGAGTCTTCTGTCACCATTTGTTCCCCTTTACCCTCCTCACCTCCCTCCACCCCTTTCCCTTATTGTCTGTGTCTATGAGTTTACTTTTTTGCTTAATCCCTTCACTTTCTTCAAACAGTCCCCCCAACTCTCCTCCCCCCAATAGCTGTTAATTTATTTTCTGCATCTATTTTGTTTGTTTATTTATTTTGTTCATTAGATTCCACATATAAGTGAAATCATATGGTATTTGTCTTTCTCTGACCGGCTTAGTTCACTGAGCATAATACTCTTCAGGTCCAACCATGCTGTCACAGACATCTTTTCGTACGTCTATTGTCCATCTGTATGTCCTTTTTGGAGAAGTGTCTATTCAGGTTCTTTGCTCATTTTTAATTGGATTGTTTCTTTTTAAGTGTTGAGCCGTGTAAATTCTTTATAAATTTTAAATATTAACCCCTTATCAGATGTATTCTTGGTGAATATGTTCTCCCATTCAGTGGGTTGTCTTTTCATTTTGTTGATGATTTCCCTTGCTGGAGGACTATAGCTTTCACTCTGTTTATTTCCTACTGGGTTTGCCAATTTTTACTAAATGAACTCAAATTTACCTGATTCCATCTGAGCAAATCCTGGGTTAAGGGTAAGGTCCTTCATTGCTTTTATGTTCCCATGGTGCACTAGGTTGTGATGAGCTGAGACTCTTGAAAAACAATTTTTAATCTTGACATAAACAGAAAAATGTATTAATAATAATCACAGCAAACAACAGTAATAGCACACACTCAAACCTCCAATCGATGAGAAGACAGACTTGTGGATATGTGTGCACAGAGTCAAGGCTTTCTTATTATGCCTTAGCTGACAGTGCACATTCCTTCCTCTGTCCCAAGCTCTTTTTCCTCTTAGTCTTCCTCTAAGTGTGTTATAACACACTCAGGGTCCTAGTTTTATGTAGTCACTCAGTTTCAAATTTCTACCTCTCTGGGAGGTCTGCTCGTTTGCTGAATGGGTTGAATGCCCCTTGTTCTCTGAATCTATTGGCCCTTCAAAGTTGTGTCAAGGACATCAGGAAACATAGCCCTGAGAAGTGTCTTCTTTACAAAGAGCCCCTTTTAGTGCCTGGCAGGCTCCTTTACGACAGGAACCTGGGAGGACTGACGAACAGGTATGAGAACTTGAATACACAGAACTGATGACTTTTGAGAAGTCAAAACACCAATCACAAAGCAAGATCAAAGCAAGAGCAGTTCCTGCTCCCCACCAGGGAAAACCCAAACTTTTTGAGTTATTTGATAAGACTAAGTGCTTCAAAGAGTGAGTGTAAGTTTCAGGGAGGGCGGGAAATCAAAGGTCATGTCAGGGACTTGGAAAAAGTGACTTCATCAGGCTTTGACGATAAGAACTGGACACCCCTGAAAACCCAGGCATGGAGGAGCACTGACCAGTAGGGTATCTGCCCCACTCATGGTCTCGCTTCTCTGCTCACTATCTCAGCAGGTCCTTCTGTGTACCTGGAGACAAGGATCTGAATCAAATGTTCTTAGAAAAGTAAGAACACTGAAAAAGTGTCAGATGTTCATGCCAGCTGTAGAGAAATCAAGGGGGCTGCTCTGAGGACATGATGCAGGGGATTCAGTTGTTCCATTAATGTGTGGTGAGCATTGACTCTGTTTCCAGGGACTCTTCTAGGTGGGGATACAACAGCTGAAGAACAGGACTTCTGTTCTAAGGAATCGCATGGTCATTAAATACGCAACCAAATAAAGATTATGTTGCAGGCATAAATTAAAGGCAGAGAATTACAATTTTGATAGAGTGGCTACTTAAAGTTAAATGGTTAGGGAAAGCCCTTTCTCCAGAGATAATCTTTAAGCTGAAATCTGAATGACAACAAACAATTCTGCAAAGATAGAGGGAAGTGTCCTGGGCTGGCACAGTTAGTGCAAATGCCACATTCAGTTTTGAATGTAACGTACCTACAAATACTTCTCCTTGTGCCTAAACCTGTGACATGCCCAAGGAAGACAATTGATAAATGTTCTGAATGAGAAGGGTGGAAAGAGAGGAGTCAGTGTTGTCAGTAGACTAACCAGAAATGGAGGGCAAACTACAGATACAGAGTTGTGTGCCTGTGCATGTGTGCGTGTGAGTGCACATGTGAGCATGTGTCTGGTAGAATGTCTATACCTGTCTCTTCTATAAAAAATGTCTGTAGGAAAATAGATTGAGAAGCTGTGATTCTAGAGGGTCAGTTGCTGAGTTATAGAGATGGATGCATGGGAGGGGCCAGGAGAAGGAGGAGTTTAGGGTATTAAAGTAGAGAGCTGCCCAGTGCGGCTGAAGGGCCCACCATCAGCCCTGGAGAGCTGCCCAGCATACAGGAGTTCTAATAATGGTTGTTTATTAACTTGGGGTGAAGGCCAGTCCAGCACTGCCCTGTCGCCAGGCTAATTGAGCCTGACGTTGCTGAGGCATCTGCCAGAGGCCTGGGCTGGAGGACAGCTTCCCTGCCATAGCCTTCGTGCTCTGAGGAGGCCCTAGTAAGTTGTTTCTGGAGGACAGAGGTGGAGTCCTGGGCCAGGAGTCTGGACACTTGACTTGATCCTTGTGAGGTCCAGGCAGGGGCGTTGGTGGGGTTGTCAGGCCCACTCAGGGCCTATGTCTCTCTCTGCCTTGTGGCGTTTATGTTCTTCTTGAATCCACTTGACTATCTGCAAACTAAAGGGTGGTCTTTTCAGTCAAAGGGAAGAATGGAAGTGGGGTATGTTTAAACCTGACCTGGGCCTTTGGTATAATCAGGGAAAGGGGGAAAGAAGATAGAAAAAGGAAAGGTGGAGAAAATGTGATAAAGTTTCCTTCCAACTCACTACTTCTCACTGCATCCTGGAGGGAGGGAATGGCTCTGGGAGCTCCAGGGTAGGCAAGGGCAGATGGTAGTTATGGACCAGCAACATTGGGATTAACGGCCAGAGAGGAGCAGAAGGAGAGGCCCATGGGACTGGGCTGCGAAGACTTCCTGGAACAGAGTCCAGCTTGAGCAAAGGCTGGAGGGGACTCTGACAGCAGGTTGGGGATACAGAGCTTGCGGGTCTAAGCGCAGAATGCAAAGAAGCCTGCCAGGAGAAGAAGAATGAGCTGAAATCCTGCCAGGCCCAGTATAAACAGAAATTTTAGGAGCCTGGGTTCTGGCTGGAAAAAAAAATAAATAAATGCCTCACAGTAGAAAACTTCAAACCAAGGGAAGAAAACATATTTAAGTCTTACGTGGCAAGGATCAATGATCATAGAAGGTTCCTTGGGAGGGTCAGAGCCCTGCCTCAGGGCACTCTGGGTCCTGAGCACCAGCAAGGGCCTGTCATAAAGTAAAAACTGTAGATGAAATGATTGACAGACTTCGGGAAACAACTGTGGTTCTGAGGTTAGGTGAACCCCGAAGTGTAAAAGGGATTGTTATGTGAAATGAGAGAATGGACGTCAGAAACCAGGTTCTGCCAAGAAATGGGCCTTGTGGGTGCTCAGATCTCCTGCTACAGTTTGAGTCTAGCTCTCAGGCCCATAGGAAGGAGAAGAAGAGGGAATCTGAAGCCCGCTTAGTCCTCAAAGACTGGGGTTGAGAGAGGAGTGGAGGCTCACACAGGCAGTGAGCTTGCCTTTGTGCCAGAGTTAGGTCATTTTCAGACCCCACGGGCTCTCATGCATAGGGCCTGCCTCACCCTCTAAGCCTTGTACCCACAGGGGCACTGGAGGCCCAGGGAGAATGGGCTTCTACCAAGTTCTCTTGCATCTACCTTGGCTTCAGCACTGATCAAATTCTAACTTCCTTGTCTGTCTCCTTAGCAGCCTGGGAGAAACTCAGAGTCAAAGCTGGTGTGTCTGTGTCCCGAGCACAGGGGCCAGCTCACCAGAGGTGGTAGCGGATGTTGGCTACACGGGATGAGATGCAATTCTTTCCCTCACTCTCTCCACTACCAGGTGAGGACTATGTTGTGGTTTGTATCACTTCCCACCCTTCTGTGTGTGGTGACAGTGTCCTTCTCAGAACCCACAACCTGTGAAGATGCCCAGAAGGCCTGCTCAGTGATTGCCTGTGGCATCCCGGTCACCAATGGCACCCCAGGCAGAGATGGGCGAGACGGAGCCAAGGGAGAAAAAGGAGAACCAGGTACCCAGGCTGGTCTGACTTCGTGAATCTTTACTCCCCAGAGGGATCTAGGACAGAGCCATGAGCAGGCTCCCCTTACATTATGATGGGGTTGAATCTCTCAGGATAATTCCTGTACATTGTCATTCTCTCCTAAACAAAGATGCTGCTGTGACCTGACTCCCACCTTTCTACGCAGGAATCGGTGGTGTGTGGTTGTCCCTAAGAGGCAGTATCTGTAGCCCTGGCAGCTGGTGCTGGAGGCAGGAGGTCTTTCTTTCTCAGGTCACCACTAGTTTGCTGTGGTTTCTGGAGTCAACATGAATCTCGTGCTGAGCTTTTGGAGGAAGAGAATGAGAGACAGACACTGGGCCACATGTCCTTCATCTTCCAACAGGGCAGGGGCTCCGAGGCTTGCAGGGCCCTCCAGGGAAACTGGGGCCTCCAGGAAGTAGAGGGGCTCCTGGGCCGCAAGGACTGAAGGGTCAAAAAGGAGATCGTGGAGACAGTTCAGGTAAGAAGCCCATCTCAGCATGGCGTGGGCTGAGGGGAAAGGCTGGGGAACTTGAAGGCCAGGTGGGAGGGGCCCTTCTCTTCTGCCCCACTGGCAGACCTCCCCTCTGCTTCCTGACCCAGCACTCTCACTCCTCCCAGTCCTACTTGGGGCCTGAAGGGATTCCCACAGGCACCTGGGAACAGACTTGCTACCCTACTGGCCACTCCTCGCTCCCTCAGCTGGAGCAGCCAATGCCAGGCTCCAGGATGTGCGGGAGGAAACCAGTCCCCTCTGAGGTTGGATTGAAGTCCGTTGTCACAAGGGTGGCAGGAAGATGGTCTGCTTCATAAGATCCCTGGTGCAATAGAGTAATGAATAGAGTAATGGAATAAATTCATCCAAAGTGAAATAAAGTAATTAGTAGCAACAAAACAAAAGTGATGACCTCACATAAATATTTGCCTGCCTGCCCATCATGATTATAAGAATATTAAAAGCTTGCCTGGAATAAGAAATGAAAGCATGATTAAGAAAATTTTTCAAAAAGGAGAATGAGTTCGGTTTTTTCTTATAAATGAGTATAATATTACAGTATTTAAGCAGTATGTGAAGAAAAAGATCCAGAGCTACAGTTTGCAAGTTACCGTTATTGCTAGTGTTATTCCTAGTTTCAGAGTTATAGTTTATAAGAGTTATGAATTATGTCTGAGAAGGCAGGAATACAGTTATGTTTTATTGTTTTGCTTCCTTATTTTTCTAAAATAAGCATACTTCTTCTTTTTTTAAATTAAATCTTTATTGTTCAGATTATTACATTTGTTCCTCTTTTTTCCCCTCATAGCTCCCCTCCACACAGTTCCCACCCCATCCTCCACCCTCACTCCTCACCCACTGTCCTCATCCATAGGTGCACGATTTTTGTTCAGTCTCTTCCCGCATCCCCCACACCCCATTCCCCCCCAAGAATAGTCAGTCCATTCTTTTTCTATTCCCCTGATTCCATTATAATCACCAGTTCATTCTGTTCATCAGATTATTTATTCACTTGATTTTTAGATTCACTTGTTGATAGATGTGTATTTGTTGTTCATAATTTGTATCTTTACCTTTTTCTTCTTCTTCCTCTTAAAGGATATCTTTCAGCATTTCATATAATACTGGTTTGGTGGTGATGAACCCCTTTAGCTTTTTCTTACCTGTGAAGCTCTTTATCTGACCTTCAGTTCTGAATGATAGCTTTGCTGGGTAAAGTAATCTTGGTTGTAGGTCCTTGGCATTCATCACTTTGAATATTTCTTGCCACTCCCTTCTGGCCTGCAAAGTTTCTGTTGAGAAATCAGCTGACAGTCGTATGGGTACTCCCTTGTAGGTAACTGACTTTCTTTCTCTTGCTGCTTTTAGGATTCTCTCTTTGGCTTTTGCTCTTGGCATTTTAATTATGATGTGTCTTGGTGTGGTCCTCTTTGGATTTCCTTTGTTTGGGGTTCTCTGTGCTTCCTGGACTTGTAAGTCTATTTCTTTCACCAGGTATGGGAAGCTTTCTGTCATTATTTCTTCAAATAGGCTTTCAATATCTCGCTCTCTCTCTTCTTCTGGCACCCCTATAATTCTGATGTTGGTACTCTTGAAGCTGTCCCAGAGGCTCCTTACACTATCTTCGTATATTTGGATTCTTTTTTCATTTTGCTTTTTCAGTTGGGTGTTTTTTGCTTCTTCGTATTTCAAATTGTTGACTTGATTCTTGTGATCCTCTAGTCTGCTGTTGGGAGTCTGTATAATATTCTTTATTTCAGTCAGTGTATGCTTAATTTCTAGTTGGTCCTTTATCACAACCTCTAGGGTGTCATTAGATTTCTTGTACATCTCATTAAGTTTATCGGCAGTTTCTAGAAAATTCTTGAAAGACCTTAAATTGTGGTTTTGAACTCTATATCCAGTAGTTTGCTTTCCTCCATTTCTGTCATTTGTGTCTTGTTTCTTTGTCTCCATATTTTTTCTTTTTGCTTCCCTGTGTTGATAAAGTGGTTTTTCTGTGCTAAGTGTCATATAGGGCCCAGTGGTTCAGCCTCCCCAAATGCCTGAGGAGGACACTCTTGGTGCACCCCCTTGTGGTCTTTGTGCACAATCTTGTTGTAGTTAAGCCTTGATTGTTGTAGTTAACACTGGGAGGAGTTGACCTCCAGGCCAATTGGCTGTGAGAATCAGCTGTGTCTGCAGTGGAAGAACTTCTGTGCTGGAGACACCCCTTCGGGGCAAGACTTGCTTCAATGGGGCTTTCGTGCTCACTGGGTCTGCCCCCTGAGTGTGTCCTTTAAGGATCCGAGAACTGCAAACTGGATGGTCCCACTCTGACCTCTGGGTTTCCCAGCTCCTGGATATCTAGGGAGGTGTTAATCTAGCCTTTGCCTGAGGCTACCCATCAAAAGCCTCCCTGCATTGCTTGGGTGGGGCGGGTCCCACGGGATCAACAGGGCGGGCGAGCAGTTATGGCTGCTCTCAGTCCTGCCCTCAGAGGGTCTGCTTCTCAGTGTCCTGGTAATCGCTGCACACACCTCCAAGAGAAAGCTGCCCTCGAGTTCCGACTGATGCCAGACAGTCCCGCTTCTCCCGTATGAGTCTGGGTCCCTAGAGACTCACCCGGAACTGGAGCTCAGAGCCTTAGACTTCCTCCTGATTGAAAACGACAACTGCGCCCTCAGCCACCAGCCCGCTCTGTGTGTGCCTCTTTACCTTAGTATTTTACGTCCGCACCGTGCCTCCTCTGAGTCTTGGTATGCTTTTCTCTTTCCTTCCAACTGTAGAATTTCCACTCAGCCAGCCTTCCTGTGGTTCTGGATAATGTCCCTTCCGTCTTTTAGTTGTATTTTTTTTCTTCATACTAGTTAGAGTGTTTTATTAAAAAAACAAAATAAAACAAAAAACTTAATTAGAAAGTCTGATTAAATTCAATATTAACTCAAGCTCTCAGAAACCTACTGGGGAAAGCCAATAGGTGCATCAGAGAAAGCAGGCAGTAGGCTGACAATTCTTTGGTGGAAAAGGCAGTTGCATATGTATACAAATGCCCTAATGATTATCAAGCCCAAGTTTTGTTTTTCAAAAATAGGTTTCAAGATCTACTAAAGAAACCATACAGACTTCCTTAACAGTACAAAAAAATTAACAATAAAGTTTAAGGATATAGGAAAAACCAAATATGACAATACATGTGAATTATTTATAAAATAAGCCTTTCGATCCCAGAAAACCAAAAGGGGACCTCATGAATGTCAACACACATAAAATAAAGGCTAATAGCACACAGACATTTTCCCAACGACTAACTAAGGTTTAAAAATGACAGGATACTATTAACAGGTAGCTTTTCTTCTGGTTATCAGTCAATATAAAATTAGGGTCAATTTTTTCTACTCAAATTACTATCAGTTCTTCTTTTGTACCTTTTCCTTAATTTTCTCTAGCAACATTTTTCCTTTGGTTTGACCAGTTGAGCTCAAAAGGTTTGGAACCTAAAGTGAGTATCAACTCTTATTGGAATAGCACTTGGGAAATGCAATCCTGGAAAAGGCAATTTGTAACTGAAGTGGTCTGACAAAGTAAAGCAGCCCTTCTCAATGGGAGTGTCCCCCATGCAATCACCAGGCTAATGGCTCCTCTTATGGCCAGATCACATGACCCAGCATGATAATGGCATGATCCCTGGTGAGATACTGGGGAGAGCTATGTGACAAGCATCCACCCACTTAAGCTTTCAATAAATACAAAGCACTGTTTAAAACCATGTCAGTAGAATAAATAAGAGATGCTGCATTTCTATTGGCCTGTTTTGCCTCTTGAACTGGCTTGGAGTACTGTTCATGACCCAGAAGACACACTAGTTAGTTGCTACTCCAAGCTCTTTAGACTTTAGTACCACCTGCTCTTCAAGCCTCAGCACCATTTTTGCAGCGATAATGGTATTCTTCATTAGCATTGCCACTGTCATGGGACCAACACCTCCAGGGACTGGGGTGATGTAGCCGGCTTTTTTCCGGACTTCTTAAAAATCCACATCTCCAACCAACTTGGGTTTAGCAGTGGTAGGATCCTGAATTCTATTTATTCCCACATCAATGACGGCTGCTCCTTCCTTGATCATATCTGCTGTGATCAAATTTGGAATGCCTGCAGCAGAGATCACAATATCTGCAAGAATGGTATGTGTTTTCAGCTGCTCTTTCCACCTCCTGCCGCACTTCCTGCTTGATCGATCTGCTGGGCAAGTTTCCTTCCAGAAATGACAACAGCTTCATTTCGAACAGCCGAGAAATGGAGTGGACAGTGACGGAGGCAGCAGTTCTGTGCGGGTCACAGCAGCTTGGTGGCCAACGTGGACACGAGGGATGAAGCAGCCATGCCCCGCACTGGCGTCAGAGCCCGAAGAGAGCTTTTAGTTGTATTTTTGAAGTGGTTGTGCAAGGCAGCAAACTCCGGTGTTTACCTAGGCCGCCATCTTGGTTTCCCAAGCATACTTTTTAATAAGCTTTTTTTACCCAAAAAATACTCTGTTCTTGAATTTAGGGTCTTTTTCTCAATATATGCCTTTCTCCCATTGCTTTGCAGTTACAGAGACTAAGCTGGCTAACTTAGAGAGAGAGCTGAGGAGCCTGAAGGCGGAACTGGACCACATCAAAAAATGTAAGCCTCCTCCTGCCCCTCTGGGTTCCCAATCTTTCCTTCTCCTTGAGCCCCCTGGGTTTTTGGGAGGTGGAATAGAACTAACAATTATGAACACGGATTATATACCAGGGCCTGTGCTAGGTTGGCATTTTCTCATAATATGGTTTCATTCTGTCCTCTCAACACTGCTGTTTGTGAGCATTACGCTTATTTAATTTACTGGTGAGAGAAAATAGGTCCAGGAATTCCAGATAATTCATTCAGCATCACCCAGGTGGGAAGCAGCAAAGGAAAGATTGCATGGAGGTCTGCTGCCTCCACATCCTTTCTCCTTCCTCAGCACCCGCTGTTCTCAGATAGCTGTCCCTGCCCCTTTCTATCCTGGCATCCAAGCCTGGCAGCGGTGCCCAGACCTGTTTCCCTGTCCACTGCACTGGAGGAGTTTGCCAGGGGACTGTCTCCAGGACAGGCGCCCCCAGGAGAGGCTGGGCTCTGCCAGGGCCTTCCCTGCGCTGAGGAGCTCCTCCTCACTAGGACCTGACCTGAGGGGCTTGCACATGGGCTCCTTTTCAGAGTCCTGACTCCCCGACAAGGGCGTGGTCACCTACTGGCCTGGGCTTCAGGCCAAGTCAATCCCACCCATCCTTTGTGATTTCAGTGCTAACCTTCTCCTTGGGCAAGAGATCTGGAAAGAAGCTCTATGTGACCAATGGTGAAAAGATGCCTTTTTCCAAAGTGAAGGCTCTGTGCGCTGAGCTCCAGGCCACCGTGGCCACCCCCAAGAATGCTGAGGAGAACAAAGCCATCATGGACGTGGCCAAGGACCATGCCTTCCTGGGCATCACAGATGAAGGGACCGAAGGCCAGTTTGTGTATGTGACAGGAGGGAGGCTGACCTATAGCAACTGGAAGAAGGATGAGCCTAATGACTTTGGCTCAGGGGAGGACTGTGTGATCCTTCTAAAGGATGGGATCTGGAATGATATCTCCTGCTCTTCCTCCTTCATGGCCGTCTGTGAATTCCCAGCCTGAAGAGGCAGTTCCTCAGCCCTTCTTTGGCTCTGCTGAGCTCTCTGCTGCCCTAAAAGAAAATTCAGTGATCTTTTTCTTATGCCCAGTGTTGACTCATTCTTTGGTGGGGATGGGAGGAAAATGAAGGGATGGATTTGATTATGGGATTAGGGAGTGAAAAGAGGCTGACATGAGGGTTTCTGGTCCAGTTCTTGGCAGAGGACACCCACTGTCTTGCCTAAGACCATAGCACTGGGTCACAGTCAAACCATGGAAAGGGCCTAGTCTAGCCCTGTCCTTTCTCAGTGAGGACACTGTGGCCTGTCACATGGACCCATGGAGGGCCACATCTGTGTCAGTCAGCTTCGGATTTCGGCCTCCAAGAGAACCAATCCTTTTGTCCAAGTGCTGCCACCACTTGAAGCCCTTGATCCCTCCCCATGGCTAGCCCCGTCCTATCTGTGGCATGGATATGTCTTCAGTTGCTCATGTGCTGCACCAGAAAACCCTTCACCAACTGTAACACCTGGCAATATCCAATGTCCATGTTAGAAGTCCAAACCTGTAGAGAATGTTTGTACAAGTTTATCCGAATCGAACAGAGGATACACCAGAAGCCAGAAAACAGCCCGAGAAAATGCTTCTCAGAATGACAGGTTGTAGCTTCCTTTGTGCACTTGGAATTGAGGAGGGACATAAGGGAGAAAACAGAAGGTGTTGGAAAGCCAGGCAGGAAATGAATTGCAGGGTAGGTGACGAGATTCCATGCTCTCTTGAGGGCTCTGCAAAGAGGCAGTTCAAAGGTGTGTTAACCCTTTTACTACAAACACTGGATACCTGCAGTGTGACTACTCACTGTGACCTGCCCAGTTAGAAATCTGTCATCAGATCACCCTGTGAGGTTACAGTCCATGGAACCCCTTTTGCTTCCACACCAACATGGTACCATGATTAGTCCCAGGAATCCCCAAGTGGCTGTGGCCTTCTTATAGCCACCAGGGTAATCTTGAGGACAAAGGACAGCCTTTCCTCCCAGCATACTTTTAGGACCTTGATTTGATATGGCCCTTGCCAGCATCACTGTGGGGGGCAAAAGGTCAGGCAGACTCCTGACCTCCCTCTTCACAGGGCACTAGCAGTCTCAGTCTGTCCGTGTTCAGAGCCCCTTCCTCCTGGGACATCCTCATCCCATTATAGGTCAATGGGTCCATTATTAGTAGACACAAGAGGAAAAACTCCCCAATGGTGAGCTTCACACCCTGTGGGTGAAATGATGCAGTGTCAACCAGTAGGCCGACCAAACCCCCATCTGAGCAGGATTCTGATGCTGTGGGAGCACACAGTCCTGCTCATGACCATGCATGTTTGTAGCAATCTCAGGGTTGGTGGAGCTGAGAGGCTGCAGATCCCATGCATGAAACTGGGGAGAGAGTGAATTTCAGCTCCACTTTGAGGCCATCCACCAAATAAGATTGAAAAATAGCTCATGAATGTGCCAAAAGCCACTTAAGAAAATGTTTTTATTAAAATTAGTTTTCGGATCCAGGAGAAACCAAGATGGAGGCACAGGTTAACGCCGGAGATTGCAGCCTCGAACAACCACTTCAAAAAACAACTAAAAGATGGAACGGACATCACCCAGAACCACAGGAAGGCTGGCTGAGTGGAAATTCTACAACTAGGAGGAAAGAGAATATCATACCCAGACTCAGAGGAGGTGCAGTGCTGAAGTGAAATACTAAGGTGCGGAGTGCACGCGGAGCGGGCTGGAGGCGGAGGGCGCAGTTGTTGTTTTCAATCGGGAGGGAGTTTCAGACTCTGAGCTCCAGATCCGGGCGAGTTTCTAGGGACCCAGACTCAAACGGGAGAAGCGGGACTGTCTGGTTTTGGTCGGAACTCGAAGGCAGCTTTCTCTCCGAGGTTTGCAGTGGTTGCTGGGACTCTGTGAGGCAGAGCCCCTAGGGACGGAACTGAGAACAGCCATAACTGCTTGCTCCGGCCCGCCCTGTAGATCCCCGGGGACCCGCCCCGCCCAAGCCCTGCGCAGACCATTTGCCAGATAGCCTCAGGCAAACGCTAGATTAGCTAGATTAGCACCGCCCTAGAGACCCAGCACAGAAGCTCTCCCACTGCAGACACAGCGGACTCTCATAGCCAGTTAGCCTGGAGATCAAATCACCCCCGGTATTGCTGACAACAATCAAGGCTTAACTATAACAAGACTGCGCACAAAGACCACTAGGGGGTGCACCAAGAAAGCATAAAAAATGTGGAGACAAAGAAACAGGACAAAACTGTCAATGGAGGATATTGAGTTCAGAACCACACTTTTAAACTTGAGAACTGTCTAGAAGCCGCCAATAAATGTAATGAGATCCTCAAGAAATCTAATGAGACCCTTGATGTTATGATAAAGAACCAACTAGAAATTAAGCATACACTGACTGAAATAATGAATACTATACAGACTTCCAACAGCAGACCAGAGGAGCGCAAGAATCAAGGCAAAGATTTGAAATTCGAAGAAGCAAAAAACACCCAACCGGAAAAGCAAAATGAAAAAAGAATCCGAAAATACGAAGATAGTGTAAGGAGCCTCTGGGACAGCTTCAAGAGTACCAACATCAGAATTATAGGGGTGCCAGAAGATGAGAGAGAGCAAGATATTGAAAACCTATTTGAAGAAATAATGACAGAAAACTTCCCCCACCTGGTGAAAGAAATAGACTTACAGGTTCAGGAAGCGCAGAGAACCCCAAACAAAAGGAATCCAAAGAGGACCACACCAAGACACATCATAATTAAAATGCCAAGAGCAAAAGCCAAAGAGAGAATCCTAAAAGCAGCAAGAGAAAGAAAGTCAGTTACCTACAAGGGAATACCCATACGACTGTCAGCTGATTTCTCAACAGAAACTTTGCAGGCCAGAAGGGAATGGCAAGAAATATTCAAAGTGATGAATACCAAGAACCTACAACCAAGATTACTTTATCCAGCAAAGCTATCATTCAGAACTGAAGGTCAGATAAAGAGCTTCACAGATAAGGAAAAGCTAAAGGAGTTCATCACCACCAAACCAGTATTATATGAAATGCTGAAAGGTATCCTTTAAGAAAGGGAAGAAGAAGAAAAAGGTAAAGATACAAATTATGAACAACAAACATGCATCTATCAACAAGTGAATCTAAAAATCAAGTGAATAAATAATCTGGTGATCATAATAGAATCAGGGACATAGAAAGGGAATGGACTGACTATTCTTGGTGGGGAAAGGGGTGTGGGAGATGCGGGAAGAGACTGGACAAAAATCGTGCACCTATGGATGAGGACAGTGGGTGGGGAGTGAGGGCGGAGGGTGGGGCAGGAACTGGGAGGAGGGGAGTTATGGGGGGAAAAAAGAGGAACAAATGTAATAATCTGAACAATAAAGATTTAATTAAAAAAAAAAAAGAGGGAGAAAGATGTAGCCAGTGGGGAGATCTTTCTGACAGGAGATGGCTAATAAATCTTTAGGAAAGTAAAAAAAAAAAAAAAAATTAGTTTTCTATTCTGTTTTTCTTTGTATCTGAACTACCAGAGAGAGCACCCTAAACTTGGGAAGTGCTTGATAAGTATTTGTTGAATGGGTACACCCCAAAAATCCCCACATGAATCTGTCAAGTGAATGTAGGAAGAGGCCACTCCCAGGTGCCCTCCTTCTGCTGGACTGTAGAGCAGGGGTGAGAGGTGGCCTGGGAAATGCTGAAAGATAATAAAGTAGGGGTGACAGGGCAGGACCTGGCCTCTAGCACACCTAGGCTGTCACATCACTGGATTTTCAATCCCCCGAGACTCTCCTTCAAGCACTGCACCTGGGGGCAATGCCAAGTGTAATTTTGTGATGTCGAGCAGAACAGTTCTCTACTTTCAATTAAAGTCCATTCTGCTTACCAGAGGAGTGGAGACTACTTCAAGTTTAGAGGCACCTATCAAACCAATTATCAAGGCAAATAGAAAAAGAAAAGAACAGAAACTGTTAAGAAGAAAGTGAGATACACATACAATGACTCAGCAAAGAAGGATTACTGCAACCAAGCATGAAAGTTAAGGCCTAAATTTTCTCACAGCCAAGAAAACAAGGAGAAAATGGACTGGTAACCATTATATAATTATTTCTATTTTCTGTAAGGGGAGGGGATTCGTGCTCTGCCCTGAGGGGAATGTGTTCATGTTTATACTGTGCATAAAAGACAGTATCTTTAGATATAAAATTGTAGAAGACAGTCATGTACTTCACATGGATTGTTTCCCCGTATGTAGTGGTCGCCCCTAGTCAGAGAAACAGTAAAAATCTACAGGATAAACTCGAATTCTTCCATTCCCCTTCCAGCCTTCTCCTCTGCCTGTTCTTCCCCTGACCTTGCACCAGATCGTCTTTTCAGAGCTCCTCTCTCTAAATGCATCTGCCTGCCACCATTCTGCCTTGATCTAGGACTGAGGCCACCACCTCCCTGAGATTCACTTTCCAATACTTATCAGCAAGTAGTGGACCCCATGCAAGTTAGCTCCTGTGAAGGTGGCATAAATCTAAAGATACAGGATTCTCATGAGGGTCTAAAGCAGAGGTCCTCAAACTTTTTAAACAGGGGGCCAGTGCACTGTCCCTCAGACATTCCACACATGCGCACTGTGGGCCCGGAAAGAGTTGGCTGTTAAGCAGGAAAGGCAGTGGCGGCAAAAACACCGGGAGGTCTGGATAAATGTTTTCGGCGGGCCCAATGTGGCCTGCGGGCCGTAGTTTGAGGACCCTTGGTCTAAAGACAGTAACTAGCCGTTCATCCAGGCTTCCCAGGACCTGGAACAAGAGGGACATATGGACTCAAGGAGACTCTCCAGACAGCCTCTCTCACTTCCTCACAGGCTAAGGGCAGGCAGTTGCCTTCACCCAGGGATATGGGATGACAACATCTTGCACAGGGGACCTAATGAAACCAAGGGCTCCAAGGACAGGCCTTTGGGCCTTAAGCAGCACATTCCCCTTGGTCGTCAGGAATGGGGAGGGCTGAGCAACCTCTTGGGCCCTGCTGTTTGCCATATCCTTCCCCAGGCTGG